AATCTTTCTGGTTCTTACTCTGCGTAATGTCAACTCTGTTAAGTTTTTATATAAGTATTAAAGGAGTTGTGCTCCTCTGAAAGCTTGCGGCTTGAGAACCGTCAAATATGATAAACAACAACTTTGTATTCAAACAGCATGCTCAAACTACCACTACTTACTCGATCCATCCATGAGTCAAGATATCGAGATATCGTTGACATAAATTTGTTGTTATAAAATTTCACTGAGAAAGTAATCAAAGCCAAAAAATTTGCGCGATGCAGTGAAGTTTAGATAAATTGATCCTTTAGCCGAGAAATATGCCTGTCGCTGCAGTTCATTTAAATGCGGTTTGAAAATTTAGCACATATATGCGGGTACCAAAGTCTCCATTCGGAAGAAAACAATCTTTTTTATTCTTTGTTAAACACAATACTATTTATTTTATTTTACTCGCTAACTTTGCGGCGTTCAATAATGATATACTTAGTACAACTACATAAAAATACAACTTATTTGCTTACGACTACTATATTTAACACATTTACATTACATATGCAATTTACTTACAAATATATTTATGTATGCTATAAGTATAGCTTTAACATCCAAAGTACTTTACAGTTCACATTTCGTGCTGTTAATCACTAATATATATTCAATAGTCACAACTACGGGTGTTCACTTTACTTTCTACGAAAAAAATTTTGCATAAAAAATGAAAGTGTTGCACGAAAAAAAGCTTATAAAAATAGTTATGATAATTCTAACAAAATACGACGTGTAAATGATGTGTTTAAAAGAAACGTTTTCGTTTTGTTTTTCCTTAAGTTTAAAGAATTCTTATGCAAATTTAAGAGTGCCGTATAAAATTTTATGTTGGCTAAATATTTTAATGAGTGTGGTTTATAGCCCTTAATAATTTAGTTTCTTTTCACTTATTCCGATTTAATAATAATAATCATCTATGTTCGATTCGTGGAGAAACTTTGCCAATACTTAGCGTATAAATTAGAATTTTTTCGAAAAATTTCAGCTTTGCATTTGCATAAATTAAAGTTTTAAGGGAACTTGTCAAATGTAAGGTATGTATATTTTAAAGAGTTGTAATAAATTAAAATTCAGGCGAAAGTGGTTTTTCAACAAAGAAGAAAAAGTCCAGACAAGAGTTAAATTTATAAAGTGAAATGTCTGCATATATATTACATACATACATACATGCATACGCATATTAAAAATATGATAGTAATATTAAATGTTGTCAAACAAAGAAACTATAGAAGTATGGTAAAAGTAATTTTCATTTTATTTCCTTAGCAATATTAGCTCAATCGACAAAAAAAAAAGATTTTGCAAATTTTTGTATTTACATTAAAATTTCAGTATTTGCATATATGGAATTGATTAATTCAATTCTTTTGTATAGTATTTTATTTATTGTTCTATTTTGGAAGTATGTCTTGTGCGTTGTTTTGTTTACTTTTCGCTTTCTGCGCTCCATTGCTTGCAGCTCTATACATTTGATTGAAAGTATGTATTTTTTTTATTTCATTGCTCATTCATTTATTATATTTTCATAAGTGAAACCTATTCAGAGACGTCCATTCATTCATTGTTGCAAAAATTAACTTTCAATAATTTGTAAACGTTTGTGTTTCATATTAGGTTATTTTGAAGGCTTAATGCCTTGTTTGTATTTCTGAATATTTTTTGCTACTTGTTTATTGTTTTTCATAAAGAGTTTCTGTTTGATAACTTTATTTTTTTTTATTATTTTGGAAATGTCATTCCAAATCGTACGCTATTCCTTTTTTGCTTATTTGAATGACAAAGTATGTATATGTGTTTACTTACCAAACATTTGAGGCTATATTGAATGTATGTAAGTAAGAAAAAATCCATGAATGAATTAAAAATAAGCCTTTTGTCATAACACTTTCCGCATGAAAATTATTTTAGGGGCTTTGAATTTGTCCACCCCTTTACTCTTACTTAAGCTATACTTTATAAAAAAAATTTTAAGAAAAGCTGACCAAAAGTCCAAAAGTACAATTTTAACCAAACCTTGTATGTCTATATTTTTGGTTTCTGGCTTTAAATTTAATTATATAATTTCGAAATTAAAAATGGCGGATCACTAGGGGCTTTTAATAGTCTGATTTTAGCAAAACACAAAAACACATGGACGTAGTGGCGCTACTGGCTCAGAAGAAAATGTGTTAAATGTAAAATGTAGCGAAATCCATGTGTTTTCAGTGGGAAATCTATCGCCTTTGGGGCACGGTTTGACATCAAGACTAAAAGTTTTTTCAGCCCTTTATTTCGATTTAGATCAGAAACCAAAACTTTGCGGGGCGGTGCCAAAAAACACAGCTTTTTTGAATAACGTACACTCCCAGCAAAAACTTTGGTTCTTTGGTAAGCGCTTACTTTTTGTGTCGATGGAGTAACGCACTACAATTCGCCTCAAGACAAAATTTTTCGCTTTCTCGTTTACCCACTGCATTATAGGTAATGCGGTGGGAAAGCATTTTTAAATTCTCTCGCTTACCTCCAATGACATGCCCAGGTTAAAGTAATGTGTTTTGTAAACTAGAAGGTAAGTGGTGAATCTCGATTGGGAAGCACTGTTCGTAAGCGAGGGAATGTAAAAATGCTTTCCCACTGAATTACCTGTAATGCAGTGGGTAAACGAGAAAGTGAAAACTTTCGGCTTGAGGTGAATTGTAATACGTTACTCAATCGATACCATGATACAAAAACGAAGGTTTCAATAAACAACTTTTGACGGATGATAAAATTTTTTGAAGCTTCATAAATTGTAAGTATTATCAACGGCCTTACCACTTTGATAATGTTAAAACAATAAATCGGAGTATTTTCCTTCCCATATTTATACCAATGTAATAATATTTCAAATCAAAAACTATTGTCAGTGCTTGGTACTTACTTTTACTTACATAGCTCGCACTATTTTTATTAAAAATATATAAAATATAGATAGACTATTAAAAATTGTAATTGTAATTGTTCTTTTTATTTTATAATATAAACCACGCGCGTATTATGCTGTTAGTTTTTCGTTTTCTTATTTTGAATGCAATCTTGCGATCTAAAAATCTAATTCTAAAGAATGTTTGTTTGGTTCAAATTTACTTTTAAATCTCTCATCAGATTTTACAAAAAATTAAGCCTTGTGATTAGCGTATCACCATTAGCTTTCACAAATTTTGAATTCAAAGTTTTTAATGTATGCAAAAAACCTAAAGCCGGCTTGATGAGACCGCCCTCCGATAAACAATTAACATATCGTCGTATGAAGAACAAAACAGCGTATCAACAAAATGCAAAACTGCGTATGTGAGCTTGCATAAATTATTTTCTAGAGAGTAAACAATCTCATATTTCATACTGATAAAATCTTCTGCTTTAAAAAAAATATTTCTTCTAGTGATCAGGTAGCATGAATTTGATGAAATGTCTTAATTTTATTAAAAGTCAAATGGTTAACAACAACAACGAATGTCATCAAATGGAACTACCTTCTTTTTTGTATCATGATCGATACAAATAGTAAGCGCTTACAAAAAAACAAAAAAGTTTTTGCTGGGCTCTTATAGACATACATATACATTCATTCATTCTCCAAGCAGCCGTGGAAATTTGAGTCTGAAAATTAATCAAGGTCCACCCCAAGGCGTATTCAATAAGGTGGTATCGGTACGCCAACAACAAAATGTACATGTATTTTGTTTTTGCTTTTGCGGCGAGGACTGTCAAAATTTTCATAGGAATGATGTGAAAGAGAACAAAAAACAATAAACAATCAACTGCTCCAACCAATCAACAGCAGCCATTTGACATATGAAGCCGTGCGGCGAAGAAAAATAAAAGGGTGCTGCTATCACCTGTTAAATACGCCTTGGTCCACCCCAAGGATGAAAGAATTTTGTTTTGGAATAGTCAAACATCACGTTCGCTCAAGTTAGACTAGCTCAGGCTAGGCATGAACGAACGAATAAAGATCACCCAGGACAGCGTGCGAGAAAAAAGTTATTTTTTTGCAGTGACGTCATTTTTTCGCCGCCATGTGAATGAAACGGGATGAAACTTGTGTGTGAAGGAAAAACCGATTCAAAAATGACGTCATCAACTATTATGTTTCTTCTCAAATGCAATTACAAATACACGGTTGCGTGCTGGGTGATCTCGTTGGTAATTGAGGTTTTCATGGAATGGTAACTACAAATAATTCACATTTACAGGTCTATTCTGCGCTGGTAATAAAAAGTTTGTAACCGGTAAATAAAGTTCCTGTCAATTTTTAAACCCTTTTCGCATTCTGTATACTCTTGTAACCGGTAAATTTTGTTACCATCTCATAAGCTGGTAACAAATTATTGCCCCGTGAAATATGCAATGCCAGGATTTGCACAATTCTTCATAGCTGAATTGCTGAATATTTTAACTGCATTACCAACGTACCTAGAATCGCGGTGACAAGAACTGGTAACATTTTTTGGATATACAATTTTCCGGTTACAAAATCTTCGGTAACGTGCAGAATAGACCTGTAAACGTTGGATGGTCAAAAAAAGTTCCGTAGGTAGGAACCTTTATTTCTTTCAGAGGCAGAGCAGTTTAGAAGAAAATGCTAAAATGGTTGCACTGTGTCCTCGCCAAAACAGCTGAAGCTTGCCCTTCTATTGGACTATGTGTGTTCAGAACAAATGTCAAAAGTGAGAGATGGCGCTTATCCAACTAAAAAAAGCTTCTGTGATCGCCTGCCGTCGACCACCGGCAAGAAGGATGAGCTCAAGAATGCGCCACCTAGCCAGTTCGGCAGAAAAGCAACTTCCTGCAGTGTCGCTTCACCGTGGAAAACAACTCAGTCAATTCTATGCTATTTTTTCTGTACGACTTGAAATGGATTTTTTAGGTTACAAAAGTAGTTTTTATATTTTTTATTTAGTTTAATAATTTATTATAACATGCATTTAATTCTTATACATAGATTATGTGTAAGAACATTATAATTGTAAGAGACTTAGACATTACCATAAAATGCAATTACCTTTTAAACCCTTAGTCAAATATTTTCGTATATATGTACATATATATATAAGTACACTAGTATATACTATATGGGTGTATATGGATATATTTTTTTGTACAAAGTTTCGTTATATATGTTTTTTTTCGATTCTGCTTTACAGCTAAAACTACGATATGGAAGTTCTTCAGTTCTTCTGAAATATATACATACATATATACAGAGCAAATGCTCTCTGATGGATAGATTTTTATACAACCCTAAGTGAATCCAGGATACAAATTTACATACAAAATTCATGAGTGGGCTGCCGATTGGTGGTTTGAAGCTTTATACTATACCCAATGATTTTTTATTCTCGCGTAACTTCAATAACAAATCCGCTTTTCCCTCACAAACTCTGCATCTCTTCTGCTATCTTCTTACCCTTGCCACCTGAAGTGAGCATGCGCCAAACCCGTCGTAAGCAACCCGGCCGCTTCTCTTCTACCACCAAGCGTTGCTCCTCTAGTATCGTATCTAATATATAGTAACTCCCAAGACTGAACGGTGGCGGCGGCAAAACTGGAGGCTGTCATGATATAGTGCAGCTTTTCGTCTCCCCACCACTTGTTGCGCCACTGGTCGACGCCGTCATTGTCGCGGCTAAACCGCCAATCAATGATGCGCCACCTCCCCCTCCAATGCCGCTGCCCAAGTGCTGCTCACTGGCTACCTGTTTGCGCTTGCGCTCGTAAGCTATCGCATCGTTCGGCACATAGGACACACGTACACCGCCATAGTGTCGACGCGCTGGTATTCGATATAAATAGTCATCCATATCGCTGGACGAGCTAGACGAACAGGTAGAGCATGCACTGGCCGCATCGCAGTTATCGAGTTTTCTGTGCACGCCCGCCGCATGCGTTTGCGCATTGTGTAGGCGGAGGTTTGTCTGATTGATTTGCATTTCCGAGGAGCTTCGCGATTGATTTCGTCTTCGGCGTCGTCGCCGCGCATTTGTGCTGTCCGTATAGCTCTTCGAACGGGACATTGTGTCGTGCCCGCTGTGAAAGCGCACCTCTTTGAGGTGTGAGCGTGCATTATTTTCATTGCCATGTGCATCACTGTGGTCTTCATCCTCATCATCTTCATCGTCCTCATCATCTACATCGGATTTGTTGCGTGCACGTTTGGCATTCGACAGTAATTCATAGTTGTCATGCGGCAGCTCGCAGTTTTCGTTATCGTTTTCAAGTTCCAGTTCGTTGGTGATCTCTTGCGTGCTTTGCGTGAGTTCCGATGCACTTGGCGAATTAATATTGATCTTATCGATGCTCTGATAGCTATGAGAGTCCTCGCCTTTCGACATCAGCATATCCGGCAATGATGCCGCGAGGTTGCTTGGGTCACCAAAGGCCGATTTATCGCCTTCGCAGATATTATCCAAGCTAATGCCCAGCTCGGTGAGATCAATTGGCGGCGGATGCGCCGGTCGTGGTACACCAGGCAGCGGTGGTATACTGCCATTACAGCCCGCAGCCAACTTGCCCACGATCATCAGCCTATCAATGCCCACCTCCATTCGCTGGCGCGTCTGCCTTTCCAACAAATCACCTGCACTACCGGCACTCTTACCATTGCTACATCCAGCTCCACTGCCGTTAGCCTTATGCCTCGCGCCAAGTCGCGGTGAACGCGCAATTTGACTCGTTGTACTGGCACGATGTGTCGGCCGGAGCTGTGGTCCCGAACTGGTGTCGGATGGTGTGGGCGGCTCACCCTTGCTGCAAGCGATCGAACAGTAAATTGTGCCGCGTCGCGGAAGAAACGGTCTGCCCAGCAGCGAACAGCGGCAGGTGCAACACGAGAAGCACTGATCTGTGGCATGCCAATGCTGTCCATCATGGCTCATCTGTCCCTGATCGACGCCGATCACTTCGCCGCAATAGTCACAATATTCCGCGAACATAGTATCGAAGCAGCTGAGGCAGTAGGGCTTGCCGTCACGCATGATGTAACGCTGCCCGCCAAGCTGATGCTCGCATTCGAAGCAGGCGAAGTGTTTCATGTGCCAGGTGCGACCTTCCGCTTCGGTGCATTCATCCGAGAAGATAATCTGGAATGTGGGAAAATACGAAAAGTATCAACTTTTTGTTCAATGAGTTGGAAAGGAAAGCTAATTGGGTGGAAACATTGGAGCATAAATAAGACTGAACTTCATATTTAAACATATTTAAATAATATCGGGAAGTAATTAAAAAAACTGAGTATAAACAAATAAAATCACTTTTATATATTTTATTTTTAATTTTCGAAAAAAATACTGAAAAGCAGAAATTTCTAAAGACCAAATATTTTAAAATTTAGAGGTTTCTTTTGTGCATGAGACTTCAACCCTCGAGTGAACGTAAATGGTGTTCTTAAGCTAACTACATATGGTATCTTAAAATTCCAAAAATTATCGTTTTTAATCCGAGTCCAAAATGTTAAAACCTTGCTATCGCATATTGTCTAGCCAAAAATTTACGTAGTTTAGAACGAATTTTCGTCATTACTTAAGGCGCTGCCCCAATGCAGGCTTGCTTTGCACGCCTTGCTATATTTAATTAGCTTTGATTTACTTCAAAAACTCGTTTGGCCAATGGCGGCTTGGAACGCTGTCAAAGCAACCAGCTGTGTAGTTGAAAAGTCAAGGTCTGTTTCCCTACACTAAGAATAATTTTGCCATCAAATTCCAGAAAATTAAAAAAAAAATAAATACAAAACAATCTTTTCAGATTTATTTTTAAATGAATGTGAATTAATTTTTGCATTTCAAAGGAATGATAATACATACATATAACGGGTGATTTTTTAAGAGCTTGATAACTTTTTAAAAAAAAAAAACGCATAAAATTTGCAAAATCTCATCGGTTCTTTATTTGAAACGTTAGAT